CCTCTAAACAAACGTCAAGTTAGTTCTCCCACGCAAGTACGGCCGGTTCCTTCCAGATCTTCTCCAATTCATCATTCATCCATGATCCTACCATTCAACAACGTTGTATAGTGTGAGTCGGGCCGTGCTATAGCTCAAGTGGTTAATCGCAGGATTCCCACCGCGGCGGCCCTGGTTCCAGGTCAGGTCATGTGGGATTTGTGGTGGACAAAGTGGCACTGAGGAAGGTTTTCTCAGAGTACTTCGGTTTCCCCTACCAATTCTCATTCCACCGACTGCTTCACACTCATCTATCATCTGGGGCTGGTGCAGTAGGCCAGTTAGTTGCCGACGTACCAATTGGACTCAGTGTCACCCCCACCCCAAGAAACAAACAAAATCTATAGCAGTGTGTGTCGTAAAACATCCCCCGAAAAGGACATGCACGAAGCTTCACTTCCCCCCCCACACGATAAGGTCTGCGCCCTGTTTCATGGAGCGGGCGAATAAAACGGACTGGTTCTTGTCCTTCGGCTGTCCTTGGGGCTGTGCGCAGAATGTTTAAGTCTTTCTGATGTTTCGGCAATCGTTGTAGTTGCCAGCTTCATGGCAGCTGTAACGCTTTTCAGAACGCTGAACACCACCGCCCTACGCCACTTACCGTCGCGTACGCCGAAACTACACGGCACATGACTCGGGCAGCCACCGGCTTGGTCACAGTATAGTGTCTCTACACTGCGCGGCAACTGCACACACAGAGAGACACGTGACAGGGGCGTGGTCATATACCTCCACCCCCCCATACTTCTTTATGGTATGGTGCTTAATTACTTAGGCATAGGGACAACTTTACTTTCCTCTTTCATACTTGCTAGGTAAGATAAAGCTGTCCCTGTAACAGGTCGTAGAGGCCCTTAGGGTTGTGAGACTGTCAGCCTTACGGGCCGAAAGCCCTTTACACCCCAGTAGATTCTTGGTACTCATTTCTGTTAAGAGGCTGAGTCGACCCCAGGGCCACAGTGCGGCTGAAAGGAGTAGGTGAAGTGAAAAATCCCATTACCTCATTGGGACTCAAACCCGCGACCGTCCGGCCTAAGCCTGCCTACCGTGTCCTGCAGAGGCGCGTGCCCAGTTAGCTCTGTACAGAGTCGGTGTGTGGGTGTGCTTACATGATCCAGTGAGCTGTTTAGACGTGACATCATCGGCTGCAATAGAAACGCGTGGCGGGGAACTTGGCACGGGCCCGAGCAGCTGAACTCTCTCGTAACATAACGCAACATGCTTAAGTTGGCTTAGTGTCTGAGCAATGCAGGGTCGGGCAGGGTTTGGAAGGAGGCGGTTGTAGCCTTATCGAGGTGCTATTCCTGCATTTGTCTGCACCATGTTGCAGCCTGGAATCGAACCGAGCTCCACCCGAATATGAGTGCAGGGCGTTAAGCTCGAACTTCACCGGACAGCACACATAGAGTTCTAGAATATAACGCCGTGTTGTCCGTTGAGAGTCGAAAGAGGGACTCTGCTTGCCACCTGCTTTCACGCTGGTTTCTTGCTTTGGATTATTCTTCGACCCTGGAGGCGACATGTTCCTCCGAAACGTCGGTTGACATTCAACGGACTACACGGCGTTATATCCCAGATATATATCTTCATAACCACTGGTGTGAGAACCTCAAATACTACAAACGCAGAGTAAATATCCATATACCGAGTGGGCTTCGAACCCGGCGACCAACACAGATCAGCACCGTCAGAACGTGCAACTTAATTTTCAGCGCCATACGTGTGCGCCCAGCCCACTACTTTCCCTCTCTCACGACGAGTTTGGATATGTGGGTTAATGGCATGCTGTTTATGGTTATGGTTGGCTCTGCCTCCAGACAGCCTTACTAGGCATTCCGCACATTTCAGGCCGTCTTACCGTCAAGGTCTCGTTTCGTACTTTGAAACGTTAACATCGTCTCACAATCATTATTTGCCTTTCAACCCTTTAAAGCACAATCGTAACTATATGTACCACCCTCATTAACATTAAAACAACTCTGCATTCTGCCCACACAGTGTATTTATGTGTTCCATACGGTTCTCATAATAAACAACGACCGTTTCCCCAAACAGCATTAACCGGTTGGGCTCTGTAGCGGAGACGTAATGTGTTTCCTGTGAGGTACGGACTGAATTCTTTTATATAAAGTCTCTGTCACAGCATTAAGTAGTTGGGCTTTGTAGCGGAGATGTAACGTGCACTACTTTCCTCCGAAACATATGGCTAGAACAGGACACTGCGAAAGTCATTCGAATACAAATTTTCTGTTTTCTTTAGTTTTTTCAGTTCACACAGACAAATTCTGGAGTGCCATCTCAAATTATGACAAGACCGCTTCCTTCCAAATCTTTTCCAATTTATTATTAATAGTTACGTTTGGGTTATTCCGTTTAGTTCACTCTATATTTTATGTATTACTGAGCTGCCACCTCGACGCACGCGGAACAGGTGTTTTGTTAGCCCTGGTTCCAAGTCCCCCTCAGTAATGGGTATGACTTCCAAGTCGATGTTTTCAGCGGGCCCAGTACTTGTAATCTCCACTCACAATGTCTGATCACGCTCGGAGCTGAAGGGAGTGTTTCAATTCCGGCCGCTTGCGTTACGTCACGGGGAGAAGACTAACTATAGCAGGCAGGTCACGCACAGCAAGTGTTCCGGGTGCAAAACCCGGGGCTGGATTGTCTTCACGATGTGTCCTGGATATTAGTATTGGAGTCGAGAATTCTCAGCCCTTCGAGTGGACACCACGATGCCCGCCAATATGGCCCCAACCCCTCTACTGGACATGATGCTTAAGCAGTTGCGCCCACCTCTCGTCTTCCCATGACCCATGTTAATGTTCCGGGCGAAAGTTTTCCAAGAGATTTCCCAAACGAATTCTATATATACAGTCGTACACTCCCTCATCTCACTGCCCCACCATCACCACACACCTCCGACCAAGATCATGGGCTCAGTGACACTGTTTTTATATACGTACGTGAGAGAGTCAGTTAAGAAGTCACAAATGGAAGTAAAACATCTGTAATGGACTAATAGGTTTTCCATATGTATCACTAGATAGCAGCACAGTCCAGCTTCATGACAGTCTATGTGGCAGACGCGCATGCGCATGTTCACGAGCTGGTTTCAGTAGTCAAAATGACGACTGCTCGAGGAGTATACTATCGAAGATCAGCGTTCTGTTGTGCGTATTTTTTTGTGGGCAAACGGCCTCGATGCAAAGCATATTCATAAGTAAATGTGGAGTGTTTACGGCAGGAAGTGTTTGGCGTGTAAAGCGGTTCATAACTGGGTCGAGAAACGTGGCAAACGTTTCCTTGATGACGAAGAGGTTGAAACGGAGGTGCGGAAGTGGCTGAGATAAGTCAGAACACCTATGCTGCGGGTTCGGACGCACTTGTATAGCGATCGGACATGTGTATCAATTTTGATGGTGGATATATCGAGAAATAAATGTTCTTTTGCCAGTTCGAATATCATAAGTTTTACGTTTTATATCCATTTGTAACCTATTTACTGACTCCCCTCGTAAGTATAAAATTGTTTCTTATACCTTTTCCTGATCATCAGCGTCTTGCTTCAGCCCTTTACTGGCGTTTCGATGATCACGTTTAACAAATGGACTCATCAAATTTAAGCCTGTGGCACACGGGCGATCTACACTTGGATGTGAAGTCAGTATAAGCGGTATGAAGGTTCGGTTCCGAGCGGGGTGGGGAGGGGGGGTTGAGAAGGCTATTCATCTTCGCCCTTTCCAAACTACGGTGGGTCCCTCTGTCACCAGTCGTCACGTACCCTCAGCAAGATGTTAGCTGAATACATCCATCCGTCCTGGAAGTGAAACCCTTTAAAGCCCAGCAGTAACTATCTGTACCACTTATTTAACATAATAAAACTCTTGTTTCCTTCACACTGTGTATTTAATGTTCCGTCTGAATTTAACAATAAATAGCGAACGGAGCACATATATGCAGCGTGGGCAAACACGCAGAGTTTCTGGATAACAGAGCAGATGGGAGATATAGTTACCGCTGTGCTTCAAAGGTTCAAGCCCTACTTTATATCTGAAGGGGCACGTATTCATCACTCTGCTGCCGACTCACTGGCTCAGCGGAATCCCAGAAGAAGACGCGGTGCTGCTTACGGTGTTCACTCCCCTTTCTTTTCCATTTCATAATGCGAGCGTGCAGAAATAACGGACACGTCAGTTCTCTAAAAGGAAGAAACTTCATTTCTCGACCTTCAACAGTTCAATTTAATGCGTCACAGAAATCGATATTGGCGACTTTCTCCCCCACTTTGCAGGGACTTGAGAAGTCGCCATGTTCCTAATAGATAAAACATTAACAGGAGAACGCAAGTTCTAATTTGGAGAAGTGGCTTCTTGCCGAGCATTTCAGCTTTCGCACAATTCCGTCACTTGAAATATACAGGGGAGTACCTGGAGCAGAACACTTCGGTGTCCGTCCGGCACATTGATAAGAGTTCGAGGCCCTGAACCTGACAAGTACAAAACTAGGCAGCATACGAACCGCACTCATGCGTTTTTAAGAGAACTGAAACATTTGGCCTGACGGGATTGTGAGACAGAACTTTGGATGATTCTCAGTGGTCAAAAGGTACACGATTATACGACAAAGTGACTTTAACATACGGGATGCTGATTTCCTACATCAACTTTGGGATTAGAAGCCAAGATGAAGAGTAGGTATAGCAGCGAATATGGGAAGAAAGAAAGAAGGTAAAGAAGCGGGAGAGAGAGAGAGAGTAAGAAAGAGCAGAACAACTGTAAGAGATGGAATATGCAGAAGGAAAAAGTCGACGAAACATAACGAGGTGAAAGAAACGATGAACTAGGGGTGGAGATGGGAGAAGCAAAAGGAAATAAAAAATAGGATAGGAGGAGGATAATAAGCAGAAGAAGCCATGGTTGTCTCACGGCTTGCTTTACTTCCCACGAGCAGCGTCACCATACCGTCTGCGCCAGTTTCAGCAGTCCCGCGGCGGTCTTAAGGTAGCCAGTATTCAGGATGATGGCAGTCGAAGTGGTGGTCGTAGTGGTCCTGGTGATCGTCACGGAATGCGACATCTTGCCAAATCACCTGTAACAAATAACAACAGAAAGTCATAATACATCCAATAACTCAACACTTTCAAGCCTGAAGCCCCATCTGAATAGCAGATATATCCAAATCCAGTTCGTACCTCACAAGAAACACATTAGTCTCCATAACAGAGCCCAGCCGGTTAATGCAGTTTGCGGAAACAGTCGCTGTTTATTGTGAGAACCATACGGAACACATAAATACACTGTGTGGGCAGAATGCAGAGACTATAAGAATGCAGTCCGTACCTCACAGGAAACACACTACGTCTCCGCTACAGAGCCCAGCCGGTTAATGCAGTTTGGGGAAACAGTCGCTGTTTATTGTGAGAACCATACGGAACACATAAATACACTGTGTGGGCAGAATGCAGAGACTATAAGAATGCAGTCCGTACCTCACAAGAAACACATTAGTCTCCACAACAGAGCCCAACCGGTTAATGCAGTTGGGGAAATAGTCGCTGTTGTAGGGTCGCATCGACTGCGAAACAGCGCCGTAACGTCACAGGAAATTTTCTGGCGACTGTGAGGGAGAAATGTGAGTGAAATCCGGCATCATGAATTGTATCAGAACGTGCGTGATGAAGGAGCAATGGCGAGCTACACTCGTATTGGGAAGCAGCTCGGTTCCAATCTCGGCCAGGACACCTGCTACTCTGACTGAGGTTTTCCTCGGGCTCTTCAGGAAAATTGAAGAAAAGCACCTCTATTAAGCGACGACCGCATCCTTCCAAATCCTTCCCAATTCATCATTCAACTATCACACCTTCATGGGGGACACATGGGTGGCCAAACTTGCTGAACGTCGGAGCCGCACATGACAAAGTTTGGCAGCTGCTGACAGGCGTGGATTGGCCGGTGCAGTTGTTCAGGTACAGGTTTTCCACGCGGCGGGTTTCGTGTGTTCAATCCATTGGCATAAAAAAGGACCAGCAAATATTTTCCTTTCCGCCACCAGCACTCACGGCACAGAAGAGCGACATGTGACTCGCGAGCCATAGTCTGGCTTGTGAAATAATCCACAATAAATCCATCGTCCGTATCGGACTTCGCCACGGTGGACGTGTCGTCCCAGTTCTGTTTGCATGTTCTGGCCCGAAGGCCAACTGACATGTGTATAACAGTGATAGCATTATGACGTAATTGGGGTCAAAGCCATAACAGGAGTTTGTATCCACAGCCTGACGTCATCTTGCTAAATAAATGCTATGGGAAATGTAGCAGTGAATGAGGCCAAACCGCACTTTGATGCACCATGTCCTACGTAGTCTGGAAGAGGTATTTGGGCTGGTTTCCGATATAAATATAGTGATTGTAACGCCGTGGCGGCAGGGGGGCGTGGAGGGATCCCTCGCTGCCGCCACTTGTAACGTCCCGGCGACGGGGGTGGATTGGTTGTCCACCGCTGTCGCCACTTGTAACGCCGTGGTGCAGGGGGGGCGTGCAGGTACCCCTCCTTGCTACCACAGCTTACGCTGTAAGGAGTTAACACCATAATCCTAGCTTACCCTCAGCTAGGATTCTCCTGTTCGGGGCTTCCTTCTCTCACGTAAAGCTGCCACCATCTGTCCTCTCTATTGTGGGAACTACCCCCTTACATATTGTCATAGCTCCCTCTTGATAACTCCCCATCTAGTCTGCAGGTAGCCTCCTATTGGGTGATACCGCTAACCTCTCTGTCCCTGTTTGTCTTTCTTTGCCTTCGGCTGCTACTGCTGCCTGTGTCAGTTCAGCCCTCGCTTGGGTCAGGATTGCTCGGGATCGGTCGTGGGAAAGTTGATTATTGAGGTGTAAATCACAATCCCGGTACAACCTACTCTAACTACCCTGGTCTATTTACATTGATAGTTACCGTATTTACAATATTTACATTATTACAAGGCCGACTTTCAGTCGGGTCTACATAGGCTTCACTTCACGCTACACTAGGAACCTCCCCTTCGGGGGTGTAAAACTGGAGTCTCTCTCTCTCTTCGACTATAGGCAAGTATTAATCGTTCCATGTGATCCTGTTTCCCTACTATTCATTAGATACGATTACACTATCCTTCGTAAAGTTTCACTCTTAACATGATCTACCCTTAGTTATACATATTGAAACCCACATACTATATTTATCACTACACGCTAACCATAACCTTGACACATACACTATACAACCCTTATTGCCTGACTAACATCCTAGGCCATTACATGTTACATGATTCTAGTATCCTCCCCGAAGGGCTCGCCGGGCACACTGGAGTTTGCTCATTGAAATCACTCAACAACACTTTTATCAACAATACTATTAAACAACATGGCTGATATGCGTAAACGTGACTTACTTAAGATGAAAGACGTAGGGCCACTTCCTCCACTCGTAAGGCCCATATTGCCTAGAGCCTCCGGCTGACAACTCAATATTCTGTTTAAGATCAGATCCCAAGTCTCCTAAATTCAGTAATTTATATTTTCAATTTGCTAATTCGGCTGTTGACGACAGAGGGTAGTTAACTCCTCCCTTTTGTTCTCAATTCCCAACGTTATATTCTCCCCTGTGGCTGGGGGGGTGGGGCCCGTGGTCCTCTCTGCTGCTTATGCGGTAATATTACGATACTCCCGTGGCCTCGTTAGCGAGCTTCTTACTTATGTGATTACGCATAAATGCTGATCATCAACATTCTTAACCTAGTTGCCTGTCCAGGTGTTGTCATACTAATGTAATGACTGTAAAACACTTTTCGCAAGTCTCGAACATTTAGGTAAGGGCTTAAATTTCCAATCTCAAATTTGAGACACTATAGTGATCAGGCCGATATGTAATGTCTCGGCCTCCCCTAGTCACTTTTGCAATAATCTGCCTGGTTAATCCTTTTAATCAATAGTGGTAACTATAGGTACCACCTGCTTTATCATTAGAAGGCTGCATTCTGCCCACGCAGTGTACTTATGTGTTCCATATGATTCTCACAATAAACAGCGGTTATTTCCCTAAACAGCATTAACCGGTTCGTCTCTGTAGCGGAGACGTAATGTGTTTTCTGTGAGGTACGGGCCGAATTCTTATATATAAAGTCTCTGCATTCTGCCCACACAGTGTATTTATGTGTTCCGTATGGTTCTCACAAGAAACAGCAACTGTTTCCCCCAACAGCATTAACCGACTGGGCTCTGTAGCGGAGACGTAATGTGTTTCCTGTGATGTACGAACTGAATTCTTATATATAAAGTCTCTGCATTCTGCTCACACAGTGTACTTGTGTGTTCCGTATGGTTCTCACAATAAACAGCTATTGCTTCACCCAACAGCATTAACCTGCTGGTCTCTTTAGCGGAAACGTGACGTGAGGTACGAACTGGATTGTTATATATTTACATGGGCTTCCAAGATTCTGACGGTTACATAAAACTCCGTTGTTAAGTTTATAAGCTTTGTCCTCGGGCCTTCTGTGTTAAAAGCGTAAAGACTGAAATACACAAACTATAATTTTACCGAACTGTGAAATGTAGTGTCACCATAAAAACCACAGACTGTGTATGTGTGTGAGGAGGGTGCCAGGGACAACATTTGGACTAAAGGAGGGGGGAAATGACAGGAGGATGGAGAGAACTGCATAATGAGGAACTTCATAATCTGTACTCTTCACGAAATATTATTAGGGTGATCAGAATCAATGATGATGAGATTGGGAATGTAGCACGCATGCGAGTGATGAGAAATGCATACAAAATTTTACTATGAAAACCCGAAGAGCCCGACTGGGGCATTTACGCATAGACGGGAGGAAAATATTCGAACAGGTCTTAAGGAAACAGGTTGCGATGCTGGGTGGATTCATGTGGATCAGGACAGAGGCCAACTGCGGGCTCTTGTGAACGCTGTAATGAACCTTCGGGTTCTAGAGAATACGGGGGAATTTGACTAGCTGAGATACTATTAGCTTTTCTAGGAGGGCCCACCATGGCACTACTTCACAAGCAACGCCGTTTGAAATGAAGTTGCTACTTTAAATAATTCCAACATGGCGGGTCTCAGAATCTTCGACGTGGTCAAGTCAATGATAATGGAAGTCCGTGGTATACAAGCGCCGTTATGCGAATTCAGTTGAAGTCAATTTTGTCTGAGATACGAAACCAACATGGCAACCTCCTGAGGCCAGCAACGGTCCTGTTACCAATTAGCTTTCGGCAAGGCGACAGAAGCGAATTCTGGTGGTACTGTTATCAAACAATTGGCGTACCTTCTGGTATTCTGGGGTAGTGTGGCACGCGGTTATCAACGCTAACAATGAAACAAACTGCTTCCATCTTCAGGGCAGAAGTCTCCAGCTAGAGGTAAAGTCTATGGAATAGAATGGAGCTCTGAACTCGGGCCAGACATGTTCCAAGTGACGCAGTTCGACCCGCAGTCTCTTCGGCCCCTCTCTGTCACAAGGCAATCACGTTTCCCCACGAGACTCACCACCGCATAGAGAATACTGGGTTAAGGCCGGACTGTTTTGTTACAAGGCTGACGGTGTCGAAGTATGTCTGCACACCCACACACAGGACACTGAACAGCTACTAGGAGGCAATGGAGGTACAGATCCACGCACTAACCTCGGCACTACATGGAAATTTCACGCCCTCTGCCGCTTGACCCCCGGGGAGAGAGCCCGTGGGGGTCTGGACGCTGTGGAGAGGAGAGAAATATCTTGCTCCTATCGGGCACCGAAACATCCCGTAGCCCCTCGTGAAAATATGTGGAGTGTAGTGCAGATGGGCACTCCGAAGGAACACGTACACAATAATGGTCTTACCAGGGCCTTGCGGGTCATGAGGTGATGTTAAGGTGGATCTTAAAGAAGCTTACTGTCATCTGGAACGTACCGCCGTGTAGTTTTGTTGGTATGTAACAGCGTTTCGGATGAAGCCTGCTGCCACCGTCTTCAGAACAGAATAAAAAAACAACACTGAAGATGAAAGCAGCAGAAGCATCGTTACCTAGCAACCTTGCCACCGACGCGACAACCTTGAATCTCACAAGGATTGAACTGGCTCACGACAGAGATCAGTGGCGGGTTCCTGTTAACATGGAAACAGGATCCACACGAGGCGAGGCATTTCCTGACCAGCTGGGTGACTATCAGCTTCTATAGAAAAGAATTTGTTCCTTTGAGTTAATAGATTCTGTAGCCTAATCCCTTACTGTGTCTGTCCTATCTGCACGGGGGCAGGACGCCTGTCGTGAACCCATGACGTGCGTCGCAGTTGTACAACTGACAGTCCTGTCTTCGAACTCAGTGATAACGTTACGCTGACACGGGCCCTCGAGGCTGGTTGTCGCTCCTGTTTCATTTTGCCAAAGTACACGGTTCGAATCTAGAGCAGGTCTCTCCAGGCAGATGTTGAGACTTCGAAAAGTACATCCCACACAAGATATGTATGAGCCCAAGAAGCAACCGTCTTCACAACATACGCAATCACACTCATTCTGCCGAGCAGGCTGGCGCAGCGGTAAGGCTTGAGACTGATTCCGGAGGTACTCGGGACGTTGGCTCTCCTGGACAGGCCACTTCGCTTCCTTCCAGATCCTTTGCAGTTCATCAGTCAGCGTACCATTCAACGCTATATACGAGTGTTGATTCAGCATCATGAAATCGACCAAAATAATAATACAGAATTTAATTGTTGCATGCTATTTTTAACGAAACTGGCCGCGTCGCACTGTTGCGGACATCGGCGTGATTGTTGGTGGCTTAGAGTAAACAGGTACAAAGAAATGCGCTGACTGTTACAGACAACTTCCGTCTGATAGTAGCAAAATCTAACACGGAAAGATGTACGCCGTGAGGCTGTGTAAACACGGATTTGTGGCTTGAAAACGACGCAAAAGTGTTGAACGGGATATCGCTATATCGGGCGGCGCCACACGTACAGTTGTAACTCTTCTGCAGGAAAAGAGCAGATTTCCCGAGGTTCGGATTTGCCTCGCTTGACGCGCATCTCTTGCAAGTAAACAGTTACATGTTTTAGAAACAAAACTACTGCAAATGCATGAACAGGCGTATTTAATGTGATTCGCAGTCGTTCCAGCGGCAGACGCACTTCTAGACTCCTCTTTCTTCTTCTTCTTCTTCTTCTTCTTCTTGTTTTCTCACACAAACTCCGTGGAGTCGAGTCCTCGGGAAGCCGTCAGTCGCTCGGTTACTTATGTTTTCTAACAATTAACGCAACCCGAAGGCTCCCCATGAGCCAGCCACTGAGACCTATCTTGGGCCACATCAGACCACTCCATACCTCAGGCTATTTATCTAAGATCCATTTTTAGTCTACTTTCTTTATTTTTAAATATAAAAGGAGGCTTATAAAATCACTTTGCTGTCTGTGTATGTACCCCCACCTATGAAATCGCCTTGCCGCCTGTGCGCCCCCCCCCCCATTTTTTTCTTTTCCTATTCTGTCCGTGTCGTGTCAAGGAAAGTAGGCGATTAGGTCTTCCCAGAACTTCTTGAAATATTATCCTCCACTTAGCCTAGGTCCTCCTGAAAGGTGAAGCTATCGTTGTAACAGGCTGTGGAGGCCCACAGGGTTGTGAGAAGTCGAGGCTCCCACATTTTCTCTATACAGTCGGCTCACAGATGACGGTGAGGTTGTCAGCCTTACGCACCGGTCGCCCTTTACCCCCAGGAAGATTCCTGATACTCATTTCTGTTAGAGGTTGAGTCGGAGGGACAGACATGAGGCGGCCGAACTTAAACCAATTCCTCCGCTTGGCAACAGCAATGCGGTGCGCTGAATGCAAGTCAGAAGACACCGTGGACCAACTGCAGGTCATTAAGTGCTCTTCAGATCGCTGAATTAGCTCCGCTACCTTTACCACCTGCACTCGTCAGATGCCGTTCCGAGAGAGTAGGTGATCCGTCCACCTCTTTCGGAGACTTGTTTCCACCCTTAATTAATTAAGCACCCGGTCATGAAGCCACAGGGGAGCGGCGAAACAGCCGTCATTCTAGATGGCACTAGATGGGGGTGAGCGGACAGCTTGACGCCCGGGCCGCTTTACTCCCGGGGAAACAGCCTCCAATACTCACTGTATAGGATGATGGTTAGGTCTCGGAGCTGGTCTAAACGTAATGTAGGGGAAAATGTCCTCTTTCCCTGCTGTGAATTGGAGCGTGGTCGCTACACTGACTACTCTATCTTCCCCAGGGTTAACGCGGCCGAGGCATGAGGCTGACCACTCACCCCCATCTAGTGTCCAGGTTAATAATGAGTAGCTATACCGCCACTCCCCCCATACGAGATTCATCACATGCTGACACCTACTGTTTGGGCTGTCTGACGGCGGAATGGGCCCCTAAGTTTCGGTGTCTGTGCGCAATCGGTTTCCATTCTGTTCTGATAGATTTGCGTGAGCAAGCTGCCGATCAGAAGGCACCAACAAATCCCGCGAAACAATGCGCAGGTGGCGCGTACCGGAAACCGAGTCATGAAGTGTGACTTTTGTGTGTGTGGGTGGGTCTAAATCCGACACAGTGGCTGACCAACCGCCTCTTCGGGGGCGTCCACTTGCGGTTGTTCGGCGCTTCTTTCGCCATCCTTCGCTCACCGTTTCAGTAGTTCATGGCGGTCCAATGTATCCACACAAAACTGGTTCGGAGTTTCAGAAATGAATCGCTAAAATCTGTTTCCATCCGGTTACATTACTCAGCTGGAAAGGAAAACCTAATACAAGCCCCAACCAACTGGCGGGCCTCTGCCGTCAAAGTATGACAATGGGTTAGTGCATTTTATGTTGATTAGACCTGTGAATAATCGAGGTAAAGGTAAAGTTGTCCCCGTGCCATGAAGGCGTATGGGGGAGTGGATGTACAGAGCTACAGTTTCTTGGCCTCGGCACTAGCTGGATGTGAGTTCGAGTCCCGGTAGGGTCAAGAATTTTCTCTTCTCCATGTCGTCCAGACCGGCTCTGGGGTACATCCAATCGCTATCAGCGGCTTTTTCCCTGGGGGTAAAGCGGCCGGGGCGTAAAACTGACCACTCACCTCCAGCTAGTACAGCGATAGAGTTAAAAAAATGTGGATCTGTACTTCCACTCCCCCCATACGCTTGTGAATACTCGAGTCAACATGAAAACTATTAAGAGCCCTACTTCTGGGATGTGACGCCGTGTAATCGGGTATAACTCTGGCCCAGCTTTCAGGTGAAGACGGAGACAGAATCAAGTCTCCGAAACGTCGTTTTAAATAAAAATACAAGACGATGGACAATGCCCAAAAACTGAATTATTGTAATAACTACCAGTTTATAAGCAAATTTCTACGGTATGGCGTAACAGCCGCGAGCTTTGCGCCTGCGCCGTTAGAGCTACCCCCGTGACAACTTCCAAGGTTCATAAAGTTGTCCATTGCACCACGCCATGAAGACGTATAGGGGAGTGGTGGTATAGCTCCACGCCTACTTAACCTGAGCAACAGATGCAAGGATATGGCTAGCGTCGCGCCCCGGCCGCTCTATCGCCGGTGGGTGGGGCCCCAGAGTCGAGCGGGACGCGGGAGACGAGAATATTGTTCTTGACGGGAAACGAACCCCGATTCCTCGGTTGCAAATCCCATAGCGTAGTCGTTATACTGAGCTACCCCGGAGATAGCGAAGAGAATCAATATGGACTCCAGGAATCTTTCGTATTGGCCCTGCCCGTTACACTTCATGGGAAAGCAAGGCAGAGCACTAACACTACACAACTGTTCCGAGGTAGAACTATACACACTTGGGGTTGTCACGGCCGTGTACGTTGTGACGCTGTTTCTTACTCCTCTGCCCTGGTTCCTCACAAGCGGTGGTCGTGATATACCAGACTACATGGCGTCATTTTCCACCCACAAATTAGGAAGGCACAAAGTTACAAACCTGCTAAGAGCTGCGAAGCGACACAACCTCACCGACACTCCAACACCGAGTAAGTCGCCACTCCCCAACGCTCAACCACCGACGCCGGCCGTGGTCCCCCCCCCCCGACAGAGCACGGCGGCCGGCCATTGGGGCATCTGTAGAGTAGAGGGGAAGCAAACAACAACACGCGGGGTCCTTTTCGTGGCTGACAGAAAGTTGCTGGGTCACGTACCGACAGGTACCGTGCTTAACCATCTCTAGAGGCAACAGGAATTGCCATGTTGGAGATCAGGACTTTGGCTTCTCACGGCCCTGTTGGAATTCACCCGACGTTTAGGAGGGAAATATTGGCTCCATCTTCCAAATCGAAAAGCCATTCAAACAAAAACTAACAGAGGCAGATGACATACTCAGCGGACACCCTGAAGATGGAAGCAATTATGTTCCTGCCTTGCGTCGGGCTCTCGCCGAATTGCTGGGATTTACAACACAGAGGACTGTACTGTACCTAGTTACCGCCATAAGAACCGCACGTTGTATTCTGAGCACACTGATTTAGGATAAAGAAATCTGTGGAGCAGGGTCCTTCTAGAGAAGCTGACAGTTAGCTATTCAAGAAATTTTCTGGCACATACAGAACCCAAATATTAATTAATTTTGTTCCAGAAGAAGCTGCTACTGGAACATGCTGTCCACCTTCATATCCTGAACATAAATTATTATTAGTTACTATAGGATTCTGACGATGGAGTATAACACACTGATATGTTGGGTTTTTGGACTTTATCCATCGTCCTGGTTTTTAAGATNGGACCCAACTGAATAGGTGTTTTCCTTCACCTGAGGACGGAAACAGATCCAGTTTCCGAAACGTCGTGTTTTTATTTGTTATCTTAAAAACCAGGACGATGGATAAAGTCCAAAAACCCAACATATCAGTGAATAAATTATTATTATTATCCACCCACCTGCACTTCGAGTCTTCCAATTGCATGAGAGCATCACTTGATTATTTCGGGTGGGGGGGGGCGACCAGAATTAGCTTACAAAACTATTACTACTTAGGAACACATTTACAAATCACTCTAGAATTGCAGGTATCTACTGATATATACAGGGCATAAATAATTTTAATGTCAACTATTAATATCTGGTACAGTTCTTTATTTTTGATTTTGATTGTTTTTCCAAGAATTGATGGGGATAGCAGGTCTCCCTTTGTCAATGTTCAGCTGGTGGTCTCTTTATGTTTTGTGACCAAAAGGCCGCCTCTGTGGTCTAGCCATCAAGAGTTCCTGGCTACAGATCCAGCGGTCCGGGTTTGATTCCCGGCGCTACCAGATTTTCTGAGAACTAGTGGGCCTGGAAAGGGGTCCACTCAGCCTCGTGAGGATAATTGAGGAGCTATTTCAAGGAAATAGCGGTTCTGGTCTAGAAAGCCGAAATTAACAGCCGTGGGGATCCGTTGTGCTGACCACGCGATATCCTATATCCACAAAAGCTGACATTCGTCGACAAGCGGCGATCGCTCGGTGTGTATAGTTCGCTTGCAGATCTACAGGCCACGGTGTTAGTTATTGTCTTGTCTGTGCAATGCATGTTTCACCTTCAGTAAAGCAGATGCAGTTAAGTTCACAGATGATGGAGGCAACATTTATTCAGATTGAGGGGCATATGGTGAGAAAAGGTCTGAAACCATCCTCCATTTCAGTACCTTGAAGAAGGGCTTGATTATGTAACTGTCCAATATTGTATCTATAAGTATCTAGTGTGTATCAAATCTAAGATCCGTTTTAATATTATCTTCCCATCTACATGTTGGTGTCTCATATTTGTCTCAATCCTAATGTCTCCTATGCAGAGTACTTCTCATTTAATCACACTAATAATGTTTGGTGGAAGAATACAGATTATGAGCCTCGTCGTTTTAGAATATGAAGTATCTTTGATGCCACAAATACTTTTGTTCCATTCTGTGTTATAATTTTAGATCCATCAATAGGTGCCACTAGTGTTGCTCCCACCTCACAAGCTTGTGCATCATTTTGCTGTTATTACAGACTGCTGGAAGTTGAAAAGTATGATGCTGCGAGGGGCCTCTAATGGCATAACATCCATGTAATTTCTGTAAAAATCGGTCAGCAAGTTCAAAAGCTTAAATGGACACACAGCATGATGACCTCATAAGACTGATTATGAGAACCATACAGAACATATAAATACCTCACAGGAAACACATTACATCTCCGTAACAGAGACCAACCAGTTAATGCTGTTTGGGGAAACAGTCACTGTTCATTGTGAGAACCACACAGAACAGATACAGTGTATGGGCAGAATGCATTGTTTTTTATGCTAATAAAATGTGGTACATACTGTTACCATTGCATTTAAAGGTGTTCAACGTCATTACAAATGAAAGACTTATCCAGGAAAATATTAAGTTTAATTTATATAATAAAAATCATTTATTACACAAATTTATGTATAAAATTGTAATGCACAGTATACACACAGAATCATACACACACAGAGCCTCGTTTTCAGAGTGTTATTGTTAGTAAAGGTATCATACTGAAGTGAAATGTGATGAACCTGCAGACACTCATTCTCGTTCCATAATGTTCATCCAGGCTCATGTGATTCTGATATGTCAGACGTTAATTGGTTTAACCCTTTCAGTGTTATGGGCATACAACATGTTGGCACACAAGCGCTTAATGTTGAGAGATATTCTGTGTAAAACATGCATTCACCCTTCACCACAAAATCTCGAATGTAACTGATGCAGTAATTGAATCACCGGTACCTCAGATGATACACACAGGAACAATAATCTCTGTGTTTCATATCCTTAGTAGGTAATGTAATGTGTGTTCAGTTTGATCTCTGGCACAGTCAGTATGCCGAGAATATCTAACAATTTTGTAATGATAATGCAATGACCAATGCCACTTCCTTACAGATGTTTCAAGCACAGAAATAGTTTGACTGTTTTGCATGTTAAAAGGTCTAAGCATGCTTTTCTTTAAACCACGAGGGAGATAGAAAGTTATATAAAAGTTCCATCAATATATGCAGTTAATCTGAACATCCTGTTGGTTGTTTGGACCCATTTTTAAGTTGGCATTGTAGTTACATGAGTTTATATGTAAAATGATGATGAGACATGTTGCAGTACTTCCAATCAATACTATTATGCTCACAGTGGTGAGTATGAAAGGCATATGAGCTGTAGGTTGTAATGCCATGTAGTTAGTCCAGCATTATGGAGAAACATACTGCCACCATGTTCAGGGTGGAAGAGTAACCACAGGAAGAAAGCAGGCAGCAATCTGCGCTTGTGTTGGGCTCCCTCCAAATGACATGGCGTTACAAGGCAGACACAGCTGTACTCTTTGATGACACTACACATATAGGCAACAGTAACTGTCGCAAGACAAACCTGTCCTGGTTTAAAACTCTGTCTATACATCGTCTTGTATGAAGAGGTGCTGTGTAGTTAGGTAGATACGAACCCAGCTACTGAACTACAGAGCATCACATACAAAGATACAGTAATCCTCAGTCAGTGATGTGAGCATCTCAGTTCTCACAAACCCTGCATATTTTGAAACAAATTTGTTGCATTGCCAAGGGTACATCCTTTCTTCTGGGATGTGCTGTGGTATGGCTTTGTAGGTAGGTACTGATATTTTGGAGGAATGTGTGTACATGTACCGACCTAACTTCGTGGCAACACATGTCAGAAGAGCATAACTTGAACTTGGAGAACTCTCACATCTCAGAAGAGCATACCCTGAACTCAGAGAACTCTCACATCTCAGAAGAGCATAACCTGAACTCAGAGAACGCTCACATCTCAGAAGAGCATGATCTCAACTTGGAGAACTCTCACATCTCAGAAGAAAATGACCTGAACTCGGAGAACTCTCACATCTCAGAAGAGCATAACCTGAACTCAGAGAACTCTGACATCTTAGAAGAGCATAACCTGAACTCAGAGAACTCTCACATCTCAGAAGAGCATAACCTGAACTCAGAGAACTCTCATGTCTCTGAAGAGCATGATCTCAACTTGGAGAACTCTCACATCTCAGAAGAAAATGACCTGAACTCGGAGAACTCTCACATCTCAGAAGAGCATAACCTGAACTCAGAGAATTCTCTACACTAAGCTAACAGTCTTCATTTTGCATTTGTGCTGAAACATATAATAGATGGGTCTGCAAGTTCTTCACCAAATTTCTGTACAAACCAAAGTGGCTAAAAAATATTTGAGATTTAACACGGCTTGAGAATAAATACTGAATTATACAGCAAATAAGATATCAACTTCAGCATACAGCAGAGGTATATACACAGGAAACGGTTGTTTGGATGTATGTAAATAAGGGTGATATAGCTGTTGTTATTGCTCTAAACATTAACACAACATCTAAACCTCATTCTGAATGAAATAACAGCAAAACTTAAACTAAGAACACTTAATATGATCTTTTTTATCCCCCCCCCCGGCACTTACACCTTCTGTGTCATCTCACAACCATGTCTATAGAGCCATCACCCCAAAGCTGCTTCCCATTCTGTTTTTTCCTTCTAGCTTGTGTCCAAAGCCTTCTTTGGGATTCTCTGTTCATTCTTAAAACTTGTTCATACCGTTTTAGTCTGTTCCTTGTTCATTTAAACAGTCAGTACAACAACTGCGTATGGGATTAACAGCTGAAGAATTGGGGCTGGACTCCTGGCAGTGGAAAGAGATTATTCCCTTCTCCACAGCATCCAGACTGGCTCCTGGGTTCACCCAGCCTCTTATCCAGTGGGTACATGGGGCTCTTACCCCAGGGGTAGCAGCCAGGGCTTGAAATTTACCATTCACCTCCATCTAGTGCAAACGTTAAGAATACACGGATCCATAACTCCTCTCCCCATAAAATTAAATATTGAGATGCTCAGTTAAACACAGGGACTACTTTACTTTAACTTTATCTTTATATTCTCTCAATTTTCTCATTTCTTATATGCTCTCTTGTGGTTTTCCCTTTTATATATAATAGCCTTTTTTGTTATGTCATTGGCAGAAAACAATTTTCGTTGTGTGGCTGAATTTATGGGCAGGGAAACATTACTGGTGGTACGGAGACAGTCGGGCTGTTTTCTGATGCATCTGAAGAAGCATGCTACATCATCACATCTCATTGGGCCCAGGGGCACAGAAATATTTCTGAATATGAAACTTTTGTCATTTGATAGGAACTGTTACTGAATGTGAGTAAGTACAGTACAGAACACAATTATAAGCAGATTTTCTCTCACATCATCACATTTCTCCATATTTATCAGTACAGTCTTGTGAAGTGTGACTATACACAGTCTGTTTGGTAGGTGCCAAAGTTCCAGAGGCACACGCAGCGCTACTTCGAAATGTTTCTACCTATCTACCGTGCTACATGGCACTCACTTGATATTCATTGCAATGAGCACCTCAAATCTGAAATAGTTCTTATTAGTTTCTGTTCATGAATAGTTTAATTTATTTTACAGCTCTGTTTGATAACATTAAAGTTGTCCCTGTGACTGATTTGACTGGTTAACTGAGGAAAAGAACATGCTCAGTGGCTGAACATGCAGACAGATTTTCCTTCTGCATCTGACATGATGGTGTATGAAGGAACAGAAGTACAGCTCCACACATTCTTAACATTAGCACTAGATGGATGTGAGCAGCGAACTTGAACCCTGAGGAAAGTGGTTCCATAGTGGAGCCAGTGGTGAAGAAAGTCTCTACCCTTGCTGGGAACTGAATCGAGATTGTCCAACCTGTAGCCTAGTCACTGTATTTGCTGAGCTAACCTGGCAGAAAAAAGTATAGCTATCCCTGTAACAGGATGTGGAGGCCCACAGGGATGTGAGAAGTCAAAGCTCCCACATTTTCTAGACAATCGGCTCACAGATGGTGATAAGATTGTCAGCCTTACCCGCTGGCTACCCTTTACCCCCAGGAAGATTTCTGGTGCTCATTTCTGTCAGAGGCCAAGTCGACCCCAGGGCCATAGTGCGGCTGGAAGTATTAGGTCAACTGAAAAATCCAATGACCTCTACAGGAATCGAACCCGCGACCTTCCAGCTTGTAGCATAGCGACTCCATGTAAATTTCAAGTTATTTAGGAATTTCACTCTCGATGCATGCAACCTTTCTGGTCACATGGTCAACTTAAAAAGGATCAGAAACAGCTGAAGGTCACACTTTTCCAGTAATATTAAACAAATTATTTGTCTAAGAAATCACTTTTCAGCGATTATTTTCTTAATTCAATAGTAAAACAGTCCAGCAACCTCAGTAATGAGGACAAGCAGTATAAAACTCTCTGTACCACACTCTGAGTTCACCATGCAACCCAAAAATGATTGCTGGCATAATTTCATTATTTTACTTTGTCTACTGTCCTTTTGGCTATGCACAGACAGCTGTGGTTAGAGTCCTAACATGTAGCCATGTTTCCTTCACCGCTGCCTAATGTCAGATGGCAGTTGGGTTAGAACACATGGAGTCAAGCTGACAGTTAATGCTGAGGTCAGGAATGCATGGTGCACACCTCCATGGCTGTGCTTTTATGTAACACACAGACAACCGTACCTTTACCACTATAATGTTACTAATCTGAAAGTGCTCAACATTTCTGCCCCAGCCCAGATACTACTGCAGTGCTGTGATTGGGCAGGTTACAGCAGCGACTATTTAACAAATGTCATCATTTGATTGAGATAGCTTGAGCTTCTTTAAGCAGAAGCAGAAGTGAAACCTGCAATCAAAGCTTATGTCTCTGAGACCTGAAGTTCCTCAGATGATACATAAAAATCCAGTCCGTACCTGACAGGAAACACATCACCTCTCCATAGCAAAGATGAGCTGATTAATTCTGATTGAGTAAATAATCCATGAGATAAACAAGTATACTGTGTGGTCAAAATGCAGTTTTTGACTATTTACACAGGTGATGTACACAATTAGCACTGTGCTTTGCAAATGATATTTCTTTACATTATGTTGATCAGTTTTATAACTGATATCTTTGTGCTCTGTAATGATCTTATGAATACTACAGAAATTTAAAATTTGAGGTTTTAACAGCAGTGGGTTTCTGGGCTATGACACTATATAATCTGGTAGTTGGATATTAGTGTTTTGGAGGAACATACTGTCACATGTTGGGTGTGTCACGCGACAAATAACTTGACGCCTTCAACGATGTAGCGAATATTTATTGTGCTTTGCTTCTACACTCACACACTCAACAATTATTATTACTTGCAGTATCACAATCACTCCTTCTGCTATATCTCGCGAATACTAGACTCCCGACTCTCTCAAGACTGACTTCCGGGTCAATACTCGTCTATCCAACTATCTTGTTCATAGGGGTCTTTCCGACTCTCTTATATAAACGTTACACAGACCGGATACGAGACACCATTTCTCATGGTTCCGTTTCTGTTGTTTTGACAGTCCACTGTTGCGCAATGAACCTTCTGTCGTCCATCTCCGGGGAAACGCGTTCGTTGTTTCGGCATTCTCTACCCAACAGCCCACTGTTATTGCGTTACCGTGGATGTACCTACTCCAAACATGTTACAATCCTGCTTCCATATTTTGCCGTGAAGATGGAGACTTAACGTTCCCCCAGAAAACTGATACCCACCTACTAAACCATACTGCGTCATAACCCAGAATATAAAAATATGCATGTAAAATTACAAGTTTGAAACAACATAATTATTCAACAATTACAACGTTGTTAACCCTATCCATGCTGATCTTTATTCATGTACTGTCATATTCCCATGGAAACATATCATTTAAATTGTCCACAGATCCAGAATGGTAAGACTTAACTGCTAAGAGGCAGAGGAAAACATTTCTGTAACTATCTTCTTAACTTGAAATAAATCAAGACTTTAAAAATGGCCAGTCCTCTAATTGGAGTATCTACTGCGTAACATGGAAAGGGTTAAATCATGCAATGAAACAGAACCAGTCCTCCACTCACGAATAGCCTGTTACCAGAATGTAACAAACACAATACTGTTTCACAAACATGTATTGCAAATATATATGGACAAATACCGTCTTAAGTGCAACAATTTTATTGTAGTTTTTACTTCTTTTTCTCCTTCCACACTTTTTTTTTTTTAACATGTTTCGGCCCTAAATGGCCATCATCAGGTGTGTATCACTCACCTGATGAAAAGAAAGGAAAAAGAAGTAAAAACTACAATAAAATTGTTGCACTTAAGACGGTATTTGTCCATATATATTGTGTGAGTGTAACAGGATGCTGAAATATAATAATGTATTGCAAAATCTTCTTCCAGTCATGAAACTGGGGTTAAAAAATGTTTCATGGTCAGCAGCAAAATGCAACAATATCAGGTGTGATATACGTCACCCACCTGCAGTCTGCCCTTCTTTCAAACCTGAGGGCATGAATTCAGTGACAACTGATACGTTCGTATGGTTCAATAAATCGTCCAATCTGCTCATCTGTGATGAGCGAAAATTGTTTGAACATATTTGTTAACATTCTCTCCCACGATCTATTTTGATTTTTCCAGGCACAGAGCAGTAAATGATAACCTGCATACATATTATATAATACAAGGGACAGTATTTAAAGTCTTGCATGTGATGGTATGAAGCAATTGCAATGAAGGTCTGGGAAGGCGCAGTTTGTCTCCTGGAGGAATATCTGTTGGGTACAATTTTTTGGATGACTGGTGAAATGATGTTTACTTCTGGACATGATAAGCGCACCAAGATGAAATACATGCCCAGTTATAACCAATATCAGAGTCACAAAACCACAAATCACTGTCGTGAGTGTGATGGATTTGCATGTCAGTAACACTGGAGTTCTGTGAAACAGATTGGTTCTCCAGTGTCAGTACCTTGGCAATATGGACACATTTCTTGGGCAGGACGTTATGATTCCGGTAACACGATCAGTTCCCTTGGTCTCACTATAATGCCTCAGTCATACTGTGAAGAGTCCGATATATTCACTGGACAGCTGCAGATGTCACTAGTTGTTCACCCTCGTTCCCTTCCACTCAATGTACAGGAAGTATGCTCCTGCAGCATAGGCCAATGTGTTGAACAGGCCAAACACCTACATGTGGACAAAAGAATACATCAGTGGCTTATATACAAGATCCCTTCAAGTACAATAGACCACTGAGGTCGCGGTGCAAGGGCCGAGGAGGCCTGCCCCTCATACATTCACACCTCCAGTTCCCTCCATTTCTGTGCCCCTAGTCTGGTTTCTAGGTGACTATTCCCTGTCTCTTTAGAATGCATACAGCAATCACTGTTTCGCTGCCACGAAAGTGTTTAATTCTGCCCAAAATAATGGAAAATGACTTCTGAGCTTTAACACAATGCTATAATTCTGTGCACCATTCGTGGGTACAGTCAGCTGGTTTCTTGAAGAGTATGGCACCATTCATGAGTACAGTCAGCTGCTTTCCAGAGGGGTCAGTTATCTTCTACTACACAGCATCAGATTCCAAAGGACCCTAATCTTACTTAGTATTCGGTTATAAACACCTTAGATTATTATTTTCCAGAATTACTTGGTTTTTGGACTCTGTCCATCGTCTGGTATTCTAGAAACTAGAAAACACACCTTTCTAAGGGACCCAGACAAGTAAGTATCTTTCCCCTCTCACCTGAGGATGGAAATACTTCCAGTTTCTGAAACGTTGTTTTTCTAGTTTCTAGAATGCCAGACAATGGACAAAGCCCAAAAAACCCAATAATTCTGACCTCAGATTATTGTTTCCATATATGTTTGTTATCTGAAGGTACAGATAGTATATGAAATATAATTACTATTTATCATGAAATGACAGATTGTATATTAATATTTTTAATATTTTCTTCAAAACGGGCTCTCAGGAAATGCCATACAATTGTGTTTCTGAAAATGATGTGTGTATGTAACATGGCTGTCACAATACAAGTAGAGCAGCAATTTGCTCCCCGATATCGCCAGCACAACCGCACAGCATGCCTGGACCCACACCCTTAAACATGTATNGGCGCTACGTTCCTCCGAAACGTCGGCCAAAACGAAGAATACACGGTGCCTAAACCCAGAAGACGACTTTCTTCATGTATCTGCTTTGTTTGTGGGTGCATACCCCTGCAGCAATGTTGCGATCCCTGATGGAGATGTAGTAGGGTGTCGAGTGTACAGAAAGCTGCACGATGAAGGCGATCAGGTACAGCACAGTGGTCACACTTGTGTTCAGCAGCTCCTGCAACACACAGCACAGCAGTGAGAAGCGGGTGCAATGCAAACGAGGCATCTGCTACCATCATCAATGGACTTTCTGGGAAAAATCAAGACTGAGAAGAAAGGAAATGTAACACATAGCTATCAAAACCTACAATCATTTTTAAATGTAGTGCTATCCATGTTTTAATGTACTACAGACTTACAAATCAAGACCAAAATATTCTTGAATGAAAGTTTTGTGCCCCACTAACGCCTGGCTGTGCCCACGAGTATGACACAATGTAGCCAAGTAGGTGGTACAGTATGAGTGTAACCCTGATGTCTGGCATGTTTCGCTTCTTACCGTCAGGATCCAATTAATGGGGAGTTTGAGTGCCTCTCGGACAGACAGGAAGTAGATGAAGATCCAGATGAGGGTTGCAATGAAGCTGATGACGGCCACGAACAGGAACCAGTGCGTGCCGGACAGGTAGGCAGGAGAGGCACAGGCCATGCACACAATACCGAACAGCTGTGAACAGAAGGCAAAAATTGGTAATTATTCATAATGCCTCATATCGCTCATAGTCTGTTGGTTCTCAGAATAGAGATTAACCCTGTAAAGACTGAATTTATTCTAAATAATATTAAAGATTCATTACCTCTGTGCTACATAGACCAACCGGTTAATGCTATTTGGGGAAACAGTCGCTGTTTATCGTGAGAACCATATGGAACATACAAATACACTGTGTGGGCAGAATGCAGAGACTTTATATATAAGAATTCAGTTTGTACCTCACCGGAAATACATTACGTCTTCTCTACAAAGACCAACCGGATAATGCTAAACTGAATCCTTATACATAAAGTATCTTCATTCTGCCCACACAGTGTATTTGTGTGTTCCGTATGATTCTCACAATAAACAGCGTTAACCGGTTGGTCTCTGTAGCGGATCCGTAACGTGTTTCCTGTGAGGTACGGACTGAATTCTTATATATATAAAGTCTCTGCATTCTCCCCCACAGTATATTTATGTGTTTCGCATGGTTCTCATAATAAACAGCGACTGTTTCCCCAAACAGCATTAACCGGTCGGTCTCTGTAGCGGAGACGCGGTGTTTCCTGCGAGGTATAGACTGGATTTGTGTATATATATATATATATATATATATATAT